TTTACAATTGTCACTGGCGAAAAGTAGGTTGAATTCAAAGGTTCAATTCCAGCTTCTAACATTGACTCGATTTCCTGCTTGATCAGGTCTCTAATCACATAGGGCATCTGGTAGGGATTCACATTGGCTGGATCCCTGGTCATGGTCTCTATCTTGTGTTGTACAAGGTTTGTCTTGTCTGATCTATCTGTGAAGACATGTCCATACTGGCACAGCAGATCTTGTAGTTTTTCTTCTGCTTGCCAGTCAGTTATTCACTGGTGTTGACATCCTTGTATGTCTCATCTCCACCCAGTGGTCTTAGGTCTAGTAGGTTTTCAACTTCTATAACAAAGTCACTGACTTCTGGCTCTGCATCTATGACAGCTACACCTGCCATGTGCATCTGTGCCTCAATAGCTGCACACATTAGGTATTCTTCCCTCTTGAAGTACTTCTTCAACAGATTGGCATGGTAGATCTTGGTCTTCCCATCCACTTTCATTTTATAATCCATTCTGTTGATCACTTCCTGCACTTCAAAAGGTCCCTTCATATGCAGGGTGAGTTTGTTATTGTATGTTAGTAGCAGAACCAAGACCTTGAAATGTTGATCCTTGGCCTTCTTGTCAGAGAAGTGCTTCTGACTGCCTTGAGATGCATACAAGCTCTCGAGCAAGTTGTCAGGTTTCCTCCAGTTAGTTTCTGAGGTCTAACACATACTTTTGTCTCCTGTCCACAGCTATTTTAATATCTGCATCGGATCTCATGCTGTTCTTCTGTATAGTAACTAAAATGGTATAAATTTTCTACTTGCATGTGGAAATTCTCAATAAGCAAATAACTTTGCTTGCAGGTACCTGTCCCAGTCACGTGGTCTCTCCTGGAACATCTTCTTCAGCATGCTATTTAAGACTCCATTGACTCTCTTACAAAGTCCATAACATCTGGAGTTGCATGGGGTGGCAAAGAGATACCTAGCATTGATGAGTCTTCACACCTTTTGCATTAGTTCTGAAGTAAACTGGGTCCCTCTGTCACTCAAGACTTCTTTTAGAAAGCCTTCTCTGCAGAACACTTCTAGGAGGGCTTCTGCTACTGTCTCCTTCTCTATCTTCAGCAGTGCTGTGGCTTCTGGATAACGTGTTGCATAGTTGACTGTTGTCAGCACATACCATTTGCCCTTGTCAGAAACAGGTGCTAGTGGTAATATGAAGTCTACAGCTACTCTGCTTAACAGCTCTTCTATGAGAGGCACCTCACCCAGTGGCACCTTGGCTACCTTCCCTCTAGTCATATGACCTGCAGAATCTGGTCACATCTCTCCAATGACCCACAGCCAATAGAAGTTGCTGGTGATTCTGTCTGTCATTTTCTTTGCTTCTGGGTATCCTCGCACAATCGACTCATGAACCAACTTTATCACTTCAGCCAAGTATTCTATTGGTACTATGATCTGTTTAACTTCCCCAGTATAACTATCTTGATAGATCCAGTACAGCACTCCTCTGTTTCTGTAAGTCCCTTTCCCCTTTGTCTTGTGCTCGATTTTCATCTGAACACTGTCCCAATATTTTTTGCAGTGAAGGGTCTTTCTTCTGTTCTTCCTTCACTTCCTGTAAACCTACATTCGAGACTTGAAGGGGCTTGATGTCTTACTTGCTTTTCTTTTCTTGAGCTCTAGTGGTGACTTTAGATGTTTCACCAGTTTTCCTTTTGTCTGGTTCATACCAACTTCTACTGTGTAGTATATTTCCAATCACCAAATCATAGATGGGTGCCTTCATACACATGGCCTCAAGGTCTCCCACATAGTATGGAGTGTCCACATTTATTCTTACTACGCGAAACTTTCTCACTGTCCCATCAATCAGTACACTCAGATGTAACTTGCCCCTCATCTGGCCATCATACACTAGACTTGTTCTAACTGCTGCACTATTGCACCCAGTGTTTCGTAGGGCTTTCTTGCCCCAAGATAGTCTTCACCCACTGACATGTTGTAATTTGTTAGCACCTCTGAATGTTTGACCCGTTTGAACATCAGTCATACACTGTTTAATCATGAAAATAGCACTTCCTTCTTGTGGTGAATTTGTCGAGCTGTCTCTATTGTTTTTTCTGGCAGCAACATTCATGGTAGCAGCCACTTTTTCTTGTTTCTTGCTACCACCATCTTTATGGTTAGCTGCAGCTGCTTTATGTTGAGATTTCTGCTGCTGCTTGTTGGTGAAAGACTTGCACTCACTTGCAATGTGCCACATTTTATAACAAGCATAGCATCTCTTCTTCCTTCTGTCTGTTGACTTCTTTGATGGCATTCTGCTTCTGGTCAGCCCAACTTTAACTGTTCTGCCAGCTAGATTATCTCGTCCACGTCTTTTGGTGCTCACTCCTTCAAGAACAGTGAGCTGTCAGATGAGCACATGATCATGAACTGTTCACGTACTAGTAAATATGCCAGTCCTTCAAAACTATCTTCACACTTAGCCATTTCAGTCCATCTTGTGAAGTATCACCATAGGTGTGCCACAAACTAAAATAGTTTATCCAGTGTCAGGTTTGACTGCTTTGAATTTCTGGCAAAAACCTTCCTCTGTAAGTTCCTACTGTTTCAGCAACACCACTTTTAACTTGTCATTGTCCATGAAATCTTCTGATGTCATGCCTGTATACAATTGTAAGCCTTTTCCTGTGAAAAGAGGCTGAGATAGACTGTCCAGTCACCTTTGTCCCAGTTCTGACTTTGGGCGAATTTTTCATACCTCTCCAGGTAAGCATCCATGTCATCTTTATGTTTAGTCTTTCTCTTTCTATTTCCTTTTCTTCTTTTAGTCTTTCTTTCACTCTTCTTTCCCTAGCTCTTGTTGTTGTTAAACAAACTCCCATAGATCACCATCTTTTAGCCCAAGTCGCTTACCTCTCTCTACCCATTTATCAAAATCAGTCGACATGGTTTTATAGCATGATTGTAATTCGCCACCACTACAGTTTTTCGTATATAGTCCTACTTATGCTGTCGTTCACGTCTTCTTTTACAGACATTTACCACTGTATAATACTGGTTGGCTCGCCAAATGTCGGATTTTATATGGGCCGGATTCTTTACAGCAAGTGTTTGTGACTTGTTATCAATAAATTTCAACAATAAATGGATTGCACACAGTTCACTTGTTTTAAGATAATATATTCAAAACAAGTCAAATGTATGTACAAAAATATTCGTTACACTATTGGTTATCATAGTTGTATCCAGAGCTTTAAATAATTGTCTTATCTTACTTACTTGTACTTACTTGGTTGCCTATATATATATTGACCGACTGAGGCCTAGAAGTTTCTACAAACTAAAATACATTATGATGCAAAATTACTCACTTAAAGCAACGAGAAAAATTCAAAAGGTTCGAGTAACATAATGTCAATTTACAACAATTGAACTATGCAACAAATGATTAGTTAACAGTTACGTACCTGGACATAACCATCACTTTTAAAAATAACTTTCTTTAATTCTCACACAATATAAACTAAATAATACCATCGTATCAAATTTAAAATATACAGTTGTGTATATGTAACACCTGCCATATAAAAATTAAATTAAATCCACGGCCAGTACGCAGCTATACAGGAAGGCATGTAGTAAATTATGAGGCTCCATATAAACCACAGACTACATTTAAACTACCGGGTGCGTTTAGAAATATTGCCCAGGTGTTATTACAATATTCATAGCCATTTTTGCTGTAGGCTGGCAGAATAATAATGAAAAAGAACAAATGGGCGATGCCTATTATGAACCACTACCGCAGTTCATGATAAGCTTGGAAAAAATATTCAGTGCTGAATTTTATTAAAAATATAAGCTAGAGCCAGTGTTGCTTGACCTAAAATATGAAATATTCGTACTGGAACCTTACAATTGTCGTTTTTATATATTTTACACTGCAAGTATTTAAGAATGTCCCAGTAGAAGTATTTTTTATACGAACTATGACATCAAGTTGACCTGTACTGCGTACTGTAACATATACAGCTTAATATCACATACTATCAGGTATTGTTTGACTCTTTACTTTCTAAGAAACACTATATTTAATAGTCATTATTACTATGATTATTCTTTCGTCTTTGCTTTGCTTTCCAGTTCTCTCATTTAACACTAGTACAGTACATGTGCTCCCCTTCACTACTTATTAACTGTGCTATCCTGCTCGCGTTCTTATATTTCGACACCTTGCAAAGGTGGTTAGAATTGAACATTATCATAACACATAAGCACATGGAGACAACAGGTTGTTGGTGATGTTCGAGCTTATATTATAATATCATTGGGTGTGTTCTTATAGAACTGCCGAAATCTGCGCTACAAGAACTATTACTATTTGGCAGACCCTTACGTATAACAAGATAGTGAGATGTTTCAAATGTAATAACACGAAATAATTATCGTACATTGTGAACATTTTTTGTATTATTGATCTCACGTTAGCGGAACAAATTGCAGAATCATGTTAACGTTTACACGTTTGCTATTATAGTTTCGTAGTTTAACTTGCTTGATTGTATAGAACTCACTTTGTTTACCCAACAAAGGTCGGCTTAGAGGTAACCACACTACATTCATGATATTAATTAAATAAATATTCACAATGACACTTTGAAATGTTTGTGTTTAAAAAAATACTCGAAACTCTTCACAATACATTGAATATTTTGCTGTTTTTAAAAATGCATATCTTGCAACCAATATATTTTTATTTCGAGTTTTTAGGAGCAGATTTTTCTTATATGTGTATTTACTTAGGTTTTGTCACAAAGTAAAAACATTTTCAAATTTGATGCCATCAGAATGATATTCAAATGTGATGGACATTTACTGACAGCTGTGATACGCTGATAAGTTGCAAGTAGATATTGCACATAAAAAACAAAGCCTAGATAAAAAGAGCTAATTTTACATATCTCTTTATTTCTGTAGTTTATAAAATACCTAATAAGTATGACTTTTCTTTTAGGACCCTCGGCCTCCATTCAATACAAGGCTAATTCAAGCAACAAAATACAAATCATCTTGTCCACAGCACGTTGAGTACTATGGCATTGATAAGGGCATTGATCTGGTGGAAGAAGACTGTCTCTATCTCAATGTCTTCTCCCCCTATGTAAGTATATTTACAATAGGAGTGAAAACTTGGAGTAGTATCAATAATTATTTATTTTTTGTTGCTGATTCCCCACATATATAAATATATATTAGTCACTCATAAGATTATTACTTCATTCTACAGCATTGCTGACAAAACTGTAATAAGAAAAGACATCCTCAGCTTGTTATTAACTGTTGTAACCTGAGTTTATACCTTTTATTTAAAACTACATACGGGTGTTTAAGTATTTCTCTATTTATTTATAATTTAAAAGATTATTTGAGTGAAACATAACCTTATATGTAAAGTGTTGTCCTGACTCCAGTAATGGATTGTTTTTGTTTGTTTTGTTTGTAATTAAGCACAAAGCTACACAATGGGCTATCTGTGCTCTGCCCACCACGGGTATCGAAACCCGGATTCTAGCGTTGTAAGTCCGCAGACATACCGCTGTGCTATTGGGGGGCCCAGTAATGGAAAAAAATAACTTACTTTTATTATTATTTGCATCAATCAGTAAGAATTTAGACAATGAATCTATAAGAATGACTTGTAATGAATAAAATAATTTATGTCTATATAATTATGAATTATCACGTGACAGTAAGATAAAGGTAATTATTACTACTGTCAACCATTGCAAATTGTTGTAATGAAACCATGACATTTTCTCTGTCAACCTATGCCCAAATGGTTATAAAAATTATAACTATTACCTTTGGCAATCTGCAAAAGAAATACAAGTGGTTAACTACACATAGTTTTTATGTGTGGTTTAGAAAAAGCAACATTCGAGAAGTTTGTTTGTTTGTTTATTGTTAAGCACAAAGCTACATAATTGATTATCTGTGTTGTGCCACCACAAGTATCAAAGCTCATTTTTGGATCCCCATTGGGTCAACAGGCTTATAACGCTAATTTTGAGTCTTTATTTCCGGAAGAGGCGTCAGCTGAAAACAATAAAGTAGATGAAAGTACAAGCCTTGCTTCTCTCTTCCATGTGTTTTTCCTCCCTGTTCGAGTCCCGACAAAGACCTGTCTTTGTAGTGAGGCACAGTGAATATGTTAAACAATTCCGAGTAATGTAAACTAATATCACAACTTATTATAGTGTTTCTGTTTCATTCTGTTCGTCATAACTCTGCTCTGTTGCTCTTTGTAATATAAGAAAATACTGTGTACCTATTAATGAAGTTCAATATGAATACATCAAAGTATATATACAGGTATATCGTATCTTTATGTAAAGAACTAACTTTATTGAGTAATAAAATATGTATAGAAAATTCATATTTCAAGTAACTAGAGATGTCATTGATATTGTAGCCTCTCAGTTGGCTGAGTCGAATATCTTTTTGCAAAAATCGAAGACCCATGGAACAACCAGTTAAAAGATCAAAAGGGTTTGAGTGTAAAGTGTGATAGAAAGTGAATGGCTTAGGCTATGCTCGATTTTGAAGTTTGATAACATCAAATTAACTTTTATTTCTTCAGTTCATATATAATTCATACAGGATTAAAGGATGCCGTATCATTATAGGCTCAATTATATTTGTATTACTTTAACCTAGTTTAATTCTAGATATTTTAAGCGTACATTACACCATAATCAAATCTTATTACTTATTAATTATGTGACGATAACTTACCTCTACATACAGAAATGCTTTCTTCCTTGTGTGTTTCCTTATGATATATGCATCACACTAGCCTTGAGGACGACACAACCTCCATGCACATTAACTGCCCCTACGCTCTTGCACTCATGATAATATCATTATTTTCCTCAGCGTTGTACGACACAGATATATTCAAGTTTCGTCTGTATTCAATTTAATGAGATTTCTTCTTGTTAACGAAACTTTGTTTTTTAATATACTGTGGCTTTGTCTTTACAGCTTTACTTTATTGTAATAAATTCTCAAGTGACGGAGACTTTAACTTTGTCCTGTGTGATTGAGGATATTACTTACACAGGCCATATTTCTATTATGGTGTCAAAGGGATCATTGACTAAGGAGGACTTTACAGCCATTTTGCAGCGTGTTGTGGGATCCATTATGCATGCTAGGCTTTCTGTTCCTGTCTATTATTCTGATGTTTCTTTACCTCATTTTGAGTTTGAACAGGTGGAAGACAACATTGAGTGACTGTTCCATTCTCCTGGATTTTATTGGGTACCTTCCTACTGGTCGAAGAAAATCCTCAGCCTTGAACACTGTTTCAGGACTTGATTTCTCAGATATGTTCATTTATTTCTCTTTCGCCCGTGTCTTATAATTCTTCATGCTCTTTGATCGAGATTATTTAGTCTTTCATCTTTCACCTCACATTTGGGTCCACTCTGACTCATTCCTAGAAAAACTTTGTTACTGTTACTATATGTCTTGTCCTCCTTGTCTTTCTGATTCTCATGTCCTAGCTTACAGCCATTCTTCCTTTCCATTTCTTGATTCTCAATCTTTGGGATCTCTATTTCCTGCTTGAAGAGCAGGCCTCATGTCTATTGTTTCACTTTCCAGTGCTCAGTTTTCACGTCCTTGTCTTTTTCTCACCACCCTTCTTATTACATCTCCTTCCTGCAACTTATTTCTGAGGTGCTTCATTGTGCTCCAGATGAGTTTTCAGGAGAAGTTTGTTCTTTTCTTTTTACCACTATGGTTTGTACCACTTCTTCTGTCCTATTCCGGCTTATTTGGTTTCTCTACTGTTGAGACTTATTAGGTAGAGATACAATTCTTACTAATATGTGCATACTTGCTTCATATCTGCATGATCTTTGTCAGACTCTTTTGTTTACCCTTATGTCTTCAGTGGTGTTTCTTACTCACTGGAGACCCAGGAAGTGGTGGATAAACACCGGTTCTCATTATCTTCTTGCTTCTCACAACATCACCTACCCCTCACCTTCCTGTTCCACCTTCCAGCCCTTCCTTCTCTTCCTGCCCTCCCACTGCATACTATTAGGTCCCTACATATCTCATTGGTGATTAGCCCATCAATTTGGGACCCATTGGAGCCCATATATCTCAGTTAGTTGACCTTTGGTCACAATTTTCTACTGACAGAGGGTTTCTTCAAGTCTTCACCATTGATGGTCTGTCTCTCCAATTCTCTCCTCCACTCCCTCTTTCTCCTTTTTCCATTTCATTTTCTCCTCCTTTGAATCCTGTTTATCTTCAGATTATTGAGAAGGTGGTATCAGTTCTTTTGGCCAAGCACACTACCAAGAGTGTACACGACCCCTCACCAGATTTTTACTCTCATCTCTTTGTGATATCCAGGAAGACTGGGGACTGGCATCTGGTAATCTACCTTTTATTTTTTTCTGGTCATTCCCCATTTACAGATGGATAATTTCTTTTCTATCTGGTGGTCTTTTCACCTGGACTGTGGATGAACAAGGTTGATGTTTCAGATACCTTCTTCCATATCTTAATTTCCTTATCCTCAAGATGTGTTCTATGATTCATCCATCAGAATCATGTCTTCCAGTTCTGTGCTCTTCCCAAAAACATAGCTTCTGCTCTTTATGTCTTCATTCAAATTATGAGGACGTTCACTCGCCACTTTCATGGCCTGGGACTGAGATTCTACTTCTACATGGATGATTGACTCCTCTTAGTCCATTCTCAGGAAGTATCTTCTCCCACCTCTCTTCTTCTGCAGAAGGCTGCTCAGTTGGGGTGGTTTGTCAAGATACCTAGTCCTTTCTTACACCCACTCAGAATTTGGTATATTTGGGCATCTTCTTCAACTCCCTCTTGGCCAAGCTCAGACTTCCCCTCTTCACATGTGAGTTACGGAGTGTCTAGTCACCGAAATTCACGCTTCTTCTCATCCTAAATGGGAGGTTTTATGCTTTTTTAGAATTTGGTTTCCGTGAAACCCCTTACTCCTTTGTGGTTCACGCATATGTGCCTTCTCCAGTGAACCCTTTGGAACCAATGGATCCTTTCTTGAGATCCACTGTCCTCAATTGTGATCCTTTCCTCTCTTCTACTTGAGGAATTGTTATGTTGGCTGAACCACGCCAATACTGCCTCTGTAATTCCCTTACCAATACCAGACTGAATCTCCATCTCTTCACTGATGCTTTCTTCTTAGGCTAGGCTGCTTCTCTAAAGAATGATATGACTTCTGGCGTTTGAACATAGGACGAGTTTTCACTCCATATCAATGTGCTCAAACTCCTTGCTGTTTGTCAGGCATGTCCTCATTTCTTGCTCCTACTGGTAGATTACTTGGTCATGATTCTCTTCAGCAATTTCATAGTCATTTTTTACATCAACCACAATGAGAGTGCCCATTTCAGGACCCCTTGCCTTTGGGTATTGGGTTTGTTTTGTTCACTGTCATGTGCCAGAAGCTATGAATGTGGTGGCAGATCACCTCTCTTGGCTTGACTGCATTCTTCCTACAGAATGGTCTTTACACCCCAGGTCTTTCATTGAGTTTGCTCTCGGTTGAGGATATCTTTAATAGATGCTTTTGCCATCCATCTCAACTCTGAGCTTCCTCTCTTCCGGCCTTCAGTTTCTCATACTTCAGCTCTGGTAGTCAATATTCTCAGCCAGGATTGTTCTCATCTTTTTCTATAAGCTTATCCTCCTCTTTTTCTTCTCCCTTGGGTCCTCACTTTGATACATGATACTCCTTGTCAGGTCCTATTGGTGGTGCTTCTTTGGTCAGCTCAGCCATAGTTTTCTTTTCTTCTTCATTTAACATCCATACTCCCTTCCTGTATCTCACATATCACTGTTTCATCAAGGGATATTGTCACATGTGGAATCTATCTTGTCTGTTTGCCAACACAAGTAGTGTATCTATCATCATTGGTCCATCTACCACTCCCTTCCTCTTGGCTGTCCCATCTTTCTGCCTTTTGTTTGTTTAACCATGGTTTGTCAGTCTCCAACATTGTTGGTTATCAGATGGAGTTGTCCACTACATTTCACTTTTTCTGATACCACAGGTTGTTTTATTCACCTGTACTTTCTACTTTTTTCTGCTGC